AAATCTAACATTTGTCACAGCATTTCTTGCGGATGTTTTTGTGTTGTCTGTCATTTCTGCTACAAATTCTATTTAATAGCTGTCAATGCGGAATGTCAATTACCCCAAGAAAATTTTTTCTGATGTGGAAGATCAGCCTAAGCCGCAACCACAGAGCATACTAAAATAAACCAAGAGCGCTGATACCAATTGTTGTGGAATTCAGGTTAGTTTCCACTAATAATAACAAATTCACCTTGAAAACTATTATCTAAGTGACTAGTGTGAAAACGATTGTACTAAAAATCACCCCAAGGTAGATTCTCAGAAAAAAGGATGGGTCACAATGGTCTCTCTTAAAACCCACTTTCCTTAGACAGAACTACCAAGTCAAGTAATTTTAATAGGACAATAATTAACAACAACTATACCCGTCAATAACTATTAAATAGACATAAAAGAGAACACCAAAATTTAACGAGGTTCATCCAAAATTATGCATATGTCCTCGAACACTACTAAAATAATATTTCACTAATACAGGAAATATTACAAAGAGAGAAAGAGTACAAATAACCTGTAATAGTGAAGAAGGCTTATATTTGTGGGATGCTTAACTAAGGAGGATGAGGGCTCGATTTATAACAAAAGAATTTCCCCTCCTCCTTATACACAACCAATGTGGGACTTTGCCAAAGAACTAACAGTATTCATTTGTTTATTTTTTAAGGTGTTCTTGTTCGGTTCATGTTCATTTAAATTTTTTATATCGTGTTCGTTTATTTATTTTTGAAGTTGTTAACACGTTCGTTTAATGTTCGTAAACGTATTCGTTTATCGTTCGTTTATATATTCAATTTTTAGTTTTACCATTTCATTTGCAATCTTAAGAAAAATGATAAAATTACACTGCTTAAACTCTTTAAAAACCCACAATTTAAATTTCAACTTTTATCATGTGTTCATTTAATATCTACCTTCACGAATATTTAAAATGTAAACAAAATAAAAGAAAAATGAGAACTAGATAAACGAGCTTGTTCGTGAACATAAATGAAGGACTCAATAAACAAGCTTATAAACGAGCTTGTTCGTGAACATAAACGAATGACTCAATAAACAAGCTTATAAACGAGCTTGTTCGTGAGCATAAACAAACCAAACACACATCTGTTAATGTTCGTTCGTTTATTAAATAAACATAAAATTTTGTTCATACTCGCTTATTTAACTTTACGAACGGTTCACAATAGTTCACCAAACACTCTGTTTATTTACACTCGTAACTACGTGTTCCGCTACATCAACAATTAACAATATTAGTCTTAGAGGTACAATAAAACACATGAATAAAAATAGATACATTTAACAATTAAAAAATAGAAACACCGCAGTAATAAACTTAAAAAATCATCTTAGGTCATTAAACATTGAAAATTTTCAAATTTAGCTCACTTTACAACTCAAATCTGTCTATAAGTTATATTAAATTATATGTTATTAAACTATTCAAAATATCCTTGAATTAGTTTACTTTCTTCAATAAAACCCAATATATATGTATTGTACTCGAATAAGAGAAAAGTAATTTATATCAAGAGCTTATTAACAATATAAGGGTACAATGTTTAAGAATGAAGGACTTAATTGGATACAAATTAAAATTTAAACGTTCAAAGTATAATTTCTCCAAAGAAATAAAGTCAATACCCATTTGATATCAAGAAAACCCGAATCTTTGACATCCCAATTGATGTGCGATAAAGGGAAATTGAAAGAAAAAGACAGAGCAAAATATCGTCGAGAATTAAAATATATCGTAACGATAAAAGAGATATCGTGTGATTCTTTTTTTGTGCCTCTAAATTAAATCAGATTTTATCGTGATATGAGTTTTTGTATTTATTTTCTCTCTCACACGAGACGCTCCTCTTCTTAAATTTGGTGTGGGTTCCACTGACAGAAACAGGTTGAAACTTATACTTTCCTTTTAGTTTATCTTTATTTTTATATAAATATAAATTAGATAAAATCAATATTTAATGTGAATTAAAATTTTGTTATTATAATAAAATTATTATGGTAAGGATGTTGTTATTTTTTTATTCATCCATTCATAAACATAATTTTAAGAGATAAATTTAATCACATGTTAAGTTATATAAAATGATAGAAATAACAAAATTATCTCGAAAAATAATTAATATATTTGATATATATTTGTTTTGATAGATATAAAAGAATGAGACAAATAAGGATTAAAAATGAAATATAAGTATTATTATTTGTTGATTTTTCTAATAGGATATTTTGAATTGAACAAATTTAAAAATCAAAACGAACAAATTTTGTAGGACAAAAGGAGTAAAACTTTGCAAATCTTAAAAATTGACAAATTTTTATCATTTTACAGTCAACATGTTAACGTCTATATCGGATAATTGTCAATTTTTTAACGGAAAAAATGAGTTTGGAACATATGAATAGTTAAGTGACCATATTGTAACTTTTAATAATCGGATGACTTAATAAAATAAAATACTATTCTATAATTATGAGATTATTTTATAACTTTTTAATAGTTAAAAGATTTAATAAAATAATATTTTATAATGGGAGGATATTTTTGTAGTTTACCGTGGTTTATAATACTAGGGCCGGCTTACCTTTTTTAAGTGATTGACTTAAATTTTTCCAAGTAAACAAACACTTATTTCAAAGGTATATTTTATTATAAAAATGTTTTTAAGTACCACTTCGGTCACTTTCAACTAAGATTATTGAGTAAATAAACTTTAATTCTATTATTCTTCTTTCCACTTGCTTTAAAGTTTAGGATCATTAGCTATGAAAATTAGGATAAATTATATAAATGCTCATTGAACTTTTCAGGCGCTTGCATATAGGTCCCCAACTTTTAAAACTTGCAAAACAATCCTCAATTTCATTCTAAACCTCAAATTCCAAAATAATCAAAATAATATTTAGTTAACCAAGATTTCATGTTAACCAAGATTTATATACTTTTTTTTGATGTTTTGATTGAGTTGTATTCAGTGAAAATTGATTGTTACTGTTTGATTGAGTTCATGTGCAACTGAATGGTGGGGTATGCATGTGTAAATGATGCCAAGTTCATGTGAAAATTGATTGTTACTATTCTGAAAATTTATAGATTTAAGTTCATGAAAAAAATGTTTCACATTTAAAGTCCCAACAACCAATATTTAAATAGCATCAATGTTTACAATATTTTATTCAAACTCAGTACCCAATACACATGCAACACAATCTAAAAAAACAATAAGAAATTAGAACTCAATATCCAATACCATCAAACGTCATTTACACATGCATACCCCACCATTCAATTGCACATGAACTCAATCGAACAGTAACAATCAATTTTCACTGAATACAACTCAATCAAAACATCAAAAAATATATAAAAAAAATATATAAATCTTAGTTAACATGAAAATCTTGGTTAACTCAATATATTATTTTGAAGTATTTTAGAATTTAGGGTTTAGAATGTAATTGAATTATTTTGGAATTTGGGGTTTAGAATAAAATTGAGGACTATTTTGAAAGTTTTACAAGTTGGGGGACCTAAATGCAAGTGCCTAAAAAATACATTGATCATTTATATAATTTACCCTAATTTTCATAAATGCAAAGGTGAACTCACTGCCACGTTAGCATCTTCTAACGACAGTGTAACATCGGAGACCATATTGCAAACGGATTAAATGTTTGGAGATTGTATTGCAAGTTTTAAAAGTTAGGGAACCTAAATGAAAGCTTCATAAAAGTTCAGTGACTATTACTATATTTTACCCTAAAGTTTATTCTTCAAAATCCAATTTCATATTATTTTCTCGGAAAATATACATATTTTGCACGTGAAAATTTTGTTTATTCTTCTTCAAATTATTAAACGACCCCAACCAAGGGCAGAACCATCCTTTGCGAATGTTTCTTTAAGAGATAAACGATGAGTTACAAAATTTTATTATATTTTTATAAATGAAAATCGATTCTTTAATTATATAATTAAGAGATAAGATAAATAACCATCTCATACACTAAACATTTTTTATTATTCACATGTGAGGCATTAAACCTTTAAATAAAATCAAATGCTAGAATTTTTTATATTTACAAATAAAATAAATTGATTGAAAAAGATTACAGTATAATGGATCTTAATCCAAAATAATTAATTAATGAATCAAATATAAGCAATGAAAAAAACACCCAAATGCACATTAGAACGAAATTAAAGCCCACGTATTATTATGAAATTCATGTCATGGACTGCCCCATCCAAATGCACAAGCCCACCCTATTTTTTCCCTACACAATTCCAAGAGAGTAAATTATAAAATTTTATGTGCATAATTATATTCACATTTCATTTAGATTAGATGATTTTTGATTTAATTTAATTTTATCAAATCGATCTTTTATTTTTAAAAATCTAGATTTGAATCCGATCATATTAAGTTTTTTAAGGATAAGATCAAATTAGATTGGGTTCGAGTTTAAGATGAAAAAAAAGATATGACCCAATAATATTATAATAATCTCTCAAATATTTAAGGATAATTTTATTAATATCTCTTTCGATTTTATCTTTTTAATTAGATCATTATTTTATCTAATAAAAATAATATATATATATATATATTTAAGTTGGGTCGGGTCGGGTGTAGAGCTTCATCAGAAAAATTGAATCGAATTTTGAATAAAGGGATCCTTCTAAACTTAGGTCGGGTGCAAGCAAAAGAATTGATTTTATGATCAAATTAGAATAAACAAAAAACCCCATCCAAACATCCCTAATCACAAGGACAATTCACGGGAAAATGTCTAAACTTTCAACTGATTAATATTTTAGATTTTACAGGAAATAAAGGGTTAAATTGATATATATATATATATATATATATTACAAATAGTCATTCAAAATTCAAGCAAAACTAAAGAGGCCATGAAGTTTCTTTTTAGAACTGGAAAAGCTTAAACATGGCCGATACTTTGATGTTGGACGTTGTTGTTAGCATCTGCTTCGAATTAACTTGATGCATTTCAAGGAACGAATGAAGGTCCTGAAAATAACCCACGTTTCATTTTCCCATCAGTTCCTAGGTAACCAAACAACAAAAGGAAAATACGAAAGAAAATAATATGTACCTCCAGGGAACATCTTCAGCTAGCAACCAGTCACCTTCTCTGTCTTGATAAGCCAGTTTAAAGTTCTTCCGCCAATGCTCGTCCGCTGTCACAAACCCAACATGAGAGATTCATAGTTAATTCATGGTTGAAGTTAGTACTGAATTAACCAAGATTTGGGTGTTTAGTAGGATGGCAATTTTACCCGATTGGATTCGACCAAATCAAACTTTTATTTCAAGAAAATCGGATTTGGATTCTATCGGGTCGGATTGAACATTTTTCTTAAGTTGTGACCGAGTTGTGTTAGGGTTTAGGAGAAAAAATCCAATCCAACCTGATATAATATTAAAATTATCTTTTTTTATTTAAGGATAATTGCAAAATATATCTTTTTATTTTAATTTTTTAAAAATTAGATGTTTATATATATTGAATCAAGTCGAGTCAAATATGAGTTTTAACCTAAAAATTAGATTTAGTTTTATATCAAATGAGATCCTCCTAAACATAAATTGAATAGAATGAAAGACTTCAATTTTCATAATGAATTCAAATGGACTAAAAATCTGAGCTAACCTAATCAATTATCATCCTAATATTTATAGATATGAACATAAAGATGTTGGGTTTGTGAAATTTTAAATCTTTATATAATTTAAATATTTTATTTATTTAGTTATTTATTAATTAATGATTTAGCTATACACTCATTAAATTTTGTAATTTTAAATTTTTTTTGCCTTCCTAGTTTTTTTTAGGTTTTATCCTTACTAATTCATACCAATTCATATCACATACTTGACTTTGGTGGATGAATCTAACGGAGACTTTCTACCTACACAAAACTTCGAATTCAAGACATACTTAAATAATATTAAACTAATTATCACTTGAATCAGTTCATTTAATTCGAATTCCTAAATTTTAATATAATTTTCTTAATTTTGCGTTTCTAACTTAAAATAGTGTGTTTATACACTTACATATGTAGAACATTCTCATCAAGGTTGCTGTAAGCGACTCGAAAGAGCGATGGACACTAAGGTCGATTTTCCTGGTAATTGCATTCCCTTCCAGTTTCACTTTCACGTACGTTGAATTTAAAGCCCTAACACCGCAGTTATTCTTCGCCGCCACGCGATTGGTATTTGCTCTGCCATTATGTACGCGGCGGCGTAGCTTATTCCGCCAGGCTTTCACCGGCGGCCACCCCACTAAACCCTCATCGTCATTGCTTTCAAACAAAAAGATTCAACTAAATTAAACCCCATAAACGAAGAATTCCCAAACAATATTAATATCAAGAGAAGGAAAAAGGAAGGTACTTCAGAATGGCAGAAGAAGAGTTGTCGTCGAGCTCTTTCGGGTCATCGTCTTCATTGGGTTGGTTCGTGTCCCAAACCAAAAGATGCAGCGTTTTAGGAACAACTCGACTCTTTTTTCTGCCGCCGCTACTGCTGCAACTGCCTTTAACATTAGAGTCAAATGGAGCTTGCATTTTGAAGGGGAAAAAAGGAGTGGTTGGAAGAGCAAGTCCCAGTTGGAGCTCCATGCACGACGAACGACAAAAGCACAAAGATTTGGTCGAAAATAAAATAGGAAAAAGAAAGGTTTAAAAGAAGCAAATGGCAATCGGGATTTGAAGAGTGAAGAAGATCTGGGGATTTTGAATATATAAGGTGAAGCGTGAGATTGTGAGATTGGGACATGTAGGAGACAAGGCGGTGAAGTGGGTCCAAGCTTTGCTTACCTTTTAGCCGACCTATTTGTCCTCACCGTTTTCTGTTCCTTTGCTAACAACACTGCCAAGGCTTTCACGCGCATCAAAACTGGGACTTCACTTCGGACGGTAATTTAACTCGAAATTGTTGAATTTCGAATTAATTTGATTTAATAAGGTGATTTTTTTAAAAAATGGTTCGTTTCGGATAAGGTGAAGGGTAAAAAAAAATTGATCTAACATGATAAGAATATAATAATGTAATTTCTTCAAATAAATTTATAGATAATTATTACAATATCGCTTTCTATTGATTTTTAATTAAGTCTTATGTTATATTGGGTTAGGTTGGTTTGATTTATACTTTAAAAATTAGGGTCAGATCATAATCAGGTGAAAGATATATATTTTTGGAATCGGTCTAAGTTCGGGTAAAGTGTATAAATTTTTTGAGTTAGACCAAGTTAAATTACAACACACCTAAACATAAAGGAAAAAAAAAGAACAATAGTAAAATAAAAACTTAAACATAAAATAAAAATATTAAATTCAAAGATAAAAAAATGAAACCTTCCTCAAACGTCAAAACAACTCAATAATCTTCATAAAAACGTCTTATCTACGTTGAACAAGACACTTTACAAAGTGATAAAAGAATGATAGATGAACCAAAATATCTAAAAATAAAACAGAATAAATATTTTATTTAATTAATATTTAAATTAAAAAGAAACTAAAATATTGTTAATATATTTAAATCCAATGTGAAAGTTGAATGAGCATGCATGTTTACGGTTATGGATCCATAATTTTTTTAAGATAGATACATATGTATTTTAAGTTTAAATAAATTGATTAATTATTTAATTTATTAATGGAGTTTATCTTAAAATTTTATTTGTATTTATCAAAATTAAAAATTTTATATTATTATATCTATATGTTAATCCTCAAAATTATTTCTAAATCCATTGTTATATATTCATGTGTGAACCACACTCGTGTAGGGAGAGTGAGAAGCAAAGGCTTGAAGACAACAACACGGACTTGAATTTCCCGATTAAGTTACAAAATTGATGGTCAAACAAACGGCCGGGGGTACCTTCTACAAATTCATTTTTATTCGAATTATTGATTCATTTATTGATTGTCGGTTGATCTAGATTATATATCAATAAAAAACTATTATAGAAATCATTTTTTAAAAAATTATAATGTTAAAATTTGAAGCACATAGAATCTATTATCTTATATCATTAAATCAATTGACAATTAGTTGAATTATACATATATTTTATAATTAATTAAATTACACGAACAAGCAACCATACAAGAATTCCTTAGAGAAAGACTAGAATTGTGTGACTCAAATGCTCTTTGATCGGACCCGTAATAGTTAACAAGAAACTCGTTGAGATTAGAGATTAAAATCAGAATTTATGGTGGCAAATAAAATTGATGAAGAGTAGGGAACTTTGTTTAAGTAGATTACTTTCTATGCAAATTTATTTTATAAAACGTAAAATTTATCTATATAAATAAATATTGGGAATTAGGATTTAGGACTAAGTTGTTTAAATCTTAAATCGTGTTCATAAGCTTATCTTCTTATACTTTTTTCTCAATATAATAAAATTTTCTTTTCTTTTATCAGTAATTTTTTCGAAAGAATTGTTCATGTAAAATTTTAGTATTCTTTATTTTACGATCATTTTACATTTGTTATTATCATGATAAGTGCTTTTTAAGAAACAATTTTAAAAAAATTTCTCACTTTATTTTAGTTCAGAAAAATTGTGGAGAGTGCAATCCCCAGCAGAGTTGTCTTGTAAAAAAAGAAGAGTTTGTCTTTGTTCATGTTTGAAACAAAGGACATGTTCCCCTATGTGCTTTGTTTGTGCTATGTTTGGTGCTGAATCACAAGCACAAGTGGGTACAATTTTCGACGCACATGTATATTTTAATTCACAACTTTATCTTGCCTTAATTTAACAATAATATATAATCCCAATACCACGGAATTTGGCAACATTGTCCCCCCTCAAACCCAAACCATATTCCACCCATGGCTAGTGCACAATATTAAGATGCAACATTGTCCCAATACTAGATTTTATGAGTATTATTGAGTTAAATAAAAAATGGGTAGTCGAGTTTATGAGTATTATTTTATTATCTTTTTTGAGTTAAATAGATTTTATGAAATTGAACTCAATTGAATTGAATATATTTGTTCAAAATTCTGTTTAAATTTAATTGCAATTATTTATAATGTTATACTATTGATTGATTCTAATTCAAACTACCTTCTTTAACGGCATGCTATATATATTTATAATGTGTAAGTAAGATTTGTAATGTTATTTAAAAAACCAAAAGTTATAATAATATGTTTATAATATTTTTTTAAAGAAGATATTTTGACGATAAAATATTGATGAGTGTATGAAGTAGTAAATAAATTAATGAGAATAAATAATTTACAAGAGTTATTGTCAAAGTACCAAATTAAACAAAACACAAATTGGATGATTAAATTTAAAAAATAAATTTATTGTAAAATAGAGAAATTTAAGTTATACAAGTATTTTACTGTGGTTGACATAAGTTTTACTTTCTAATTTCCCGAGTATTGTAATTTATAAATTCAAATTTGATTTAAATTTGAAATCTGGAGAAAATATTTAAGTTGACTCGTGTAATTTAAATAATTTGACTGATAATTAATCTTATTTTAAGTCGACTCAAATTGGGTAAAGTACACAAGTGGTCTCCCGACTATTAGATATTATTTTGTTGAGTTCTCCGACTATAGGGGTTGTTTTGTTGAGCACATTGACTATTAAAAGTTATAAAATGGTAACTCAACTATTCATTATCTTCCAGACTCATCGTTTTTCATTAAAAAGTTAACGATCGTTTAATCTTGACGTTAATACGCTGACTGAGATATAACAGTCTTTTGAGATTATGAGATCATATTTTATCTTATCTCAGCTAGCAAGTTAACGTCCCACTTAGACTGCCATTATTTTTTAAAATGAAAAATGATGAGTTTGGAATATAATGAATAGTCGAGTGATCATTTTGTAACTTGTAATAGTCAAGAGATTCAATAAAATATTTTTTTATAGTTGAAGGATCATTTTATAACTTTTAATAGTCAAATGATTCAATAAAATAATATCTTGAGACCATTTATGTATTTTACCCAATAATTTTAGTCATTTCTAATAGCAAGGAGAGCGATGTTCAAGGAGGGACAATCGACGCATGCCGTGGTGCAATGGTGGCCGGTCAACATCTAATATTGGTCCAAGCATTTAAAGGGAGTTAATTACAAGGGAGACAACGTGGACCAATAACTTTTTATGAATATTTAGGAGGTTGACAAGACATTTATCATAATATCTTTGGGGGGCACGTCCCTTGTTAAAGTCAAAATTTTTAAATAATTAAATATGATTATAAAATAATATACGTTTAAATTGAGAAGAAAACATCAGATAAATGAGCCCAAATCACTCGGGAAGAGTTGAGATGAATCTGAGTTGCTTGTGGGGTTGGGTTTGTCTTGTTGGCCTATTTTCAGAGTATAAGTGTAGGTGAGGGAAAGTCTATCCACTAGGTTGTTTGGGACCTTGATATTTCCTATGGGGTCCCCAAATCTCTTTTGGACTTGAAGAAAAGCACAAAAATATAGCTTTTTAGTAAAAACAACACCTTCACGTCAAGATATTTTTTAAAAATAATTTGCTTCTATGCGTGTTGTGTGTGTTTATATATTGATGAAAACAAGTGTGGTCCGTCGGTCGTTAGCAGTTTATCCATTTTGGATATTCAAAAGGATATGAGTATGATTAATCAATTAATATTATTTGATTTATGAGCGTGAAGAATTTTAAATAATAAAAAATATATATTATTAAATTATTAAAGAGAATAATTTCACACATATTTTCAACTCAGGGGTCCTTTTCAAACCAGCCATGTCTTGTATGTAGGCCTGTAAGTATCCAAGTTTTCATCTTAAATGGGTTTGTGTGTTTTCGACAAAATTTTACACTAATTTTCCCTTTAAAGGGTGAACTTTAACTCCAAATATCAGTTGGGTTAGTATATTGATAACGTTGTTGGTCCATGAAGGGTCCATAGACCATGATTTAGTAATGTTAGGTATGACATGAAATCAAAAGTAAAAAATACAAATGCAGTAATTAAAATCGGCAATGCCATTTTTTCAAAAAATAATTAAATAAGAACCCATTGAGTGACATCGATAGTTAAAGAGTATTATTCTTTTTTTAGATCCTAAATTCGAACAATTGCAGGATGTATGTATTATCAATGATTAAAAAAAAATTATAAACATATAATATCTTATAATTACCTAGATTATTAAAAAATAATAAATTTTAGAAAATTGGTTCAGTGTAATAATAACAGTGGGTGGGCTGTGAATAGACATATTAGCTTTTGCTAGTGTTGGGTCAATAAAGTGAATGCAAGAAAAGAACCCTCCAAAAATTAATGCACGGGTGGAAGAAGAATCCTATGTATGAAATTCAATTCATATAAAAAAAGATATTACAATTAAAAGTAATTAAAACATAAAATAAAATTTTTAATATATATAATTAATATCATTTTTAATAGAATGTTTTTAAATTATCTAATTCTCTTAAATTAAAAGATAATATATCATTTCTCTTTCATATTTTTCCATTAGTAAAGTCTCGAAATATATTTAAACATAATATATATTTAAACATATGTCTCTAAATATTATAGTAACAAAGGTAATGATCTCCTTTCACTTTCAATTTTCTCTTCATCAATGAGTTTGTTTCTTACAAACCATAATGCCTAGATAAGACAATTTAGGAGGATTATAAGGTATTATTTGTTCTAAATTTTTTTAGTTCTATTACAATACATATACGCTCTGCAGATAGAGCTATTCGAATCTGAATTTCCTAGAAAAAATAACATTTTCTTTAATCATTGCAGTTATGCAATGATCGCTTGTTTATCAATAAAAAGTGTATAAAAGAATCTAAAATATAAAAAAAATTCGAAAATTTCAAGAGATGACTGTGCCAACCTACCTATTAATCATTCGCTGCATTGGAAGCTTCTTTATTCACAATCCTCTTGGCTGACATTCTGCACTATTGTTCCCAAGCTTCGCTTGCCCTCATCTCTCAATCTCTCTCCCCCATTACTCTTCTAATATGCTTCCTTATTCTTTTGACTGCATGTATTTTCTCAATTCCAGCTTCATATACACTGCATTATGCTAACCATTTTGGAGTGCATTTAAGCATAATGTTTTGATGATTTGAGAGAGGAAGATTGGTTAATAAGCTTTGTTGATGGAAATATGATTATATCGATAGCAAGTAATTTACCTTTTTAGTTCAGGAGGAGAGTTATTATCCGCGATTAGTATACAGTATCATGACAATTCTCCAATAATATTGGTGTTCAAAATATGGGGAAGAATTATGAGCTGGAATAAATCTTAGAAGAAGAAATAATATTGGTTATAGGATACAAAGCAACTGAATTTACGTAAGAAACTGAACTTAATTTAGAAATCATATTGAATCCGAAGGTAAATCTCTGAAAAACGGCTTACCGGGTGTGAATTTGGCAAAATAAACTTCGGATTCGGACTCAGGACATTGAAAAATATAAAATAGGGCTTTTCAAAAATTTTGACTTTTTTTGTCAAAGTCAACGGTTAGATCAGTCAAAGTCAATGGTCTGATCGGTCAACGATCAATTCTGATCAAAGTCAACGGGTCGGGTCAGGCAGACGAGTCGATTCTGTTCAAACCGGATTGACCAGTTCAGGCCGGTCCAGACCGACTGGACTGGTTCGAGAAGGATCCAGGGCTGGAGACAAGCCCCACGCGAACTCGACGACGCGTGAACCGACGAGAAGAGGTCTGGTCGATGGCTGATTCTTCCCAAAATCATCCACAAAACATATCAAGCAATAAACAACTCAAACTTCAGTCCCAAACCATCATAATTAAAATAAAACAAATGATCGAAACCCTTACCCACGCCGACGACGATTAATGACGGTAATGCTTCGACCCACGGGTCGGGTTTTAAGAGGAACTGACAGGGTAACACGATGGGAAGGGCGATGAGACTCAAGGTTGGCAAGAACGACTGGAATCGGGGAGAGAAGCGGCGACGACGAAATGAATTCCTCCCTTCAGTTAACGGCATTTGACGATCTATCTGGGTCGTTGACGACTGGGGATTGGTCATCAGAGGACACCGGTCATGCTAGTGGCATTGGAGTGCGACAAAGGTGGCTAGACGCCAAGGGCATGGGAGCCGGGCGAGGCTTCGAATCGGGGGGGAAATTAGTGTTTTGAGTTGTTAATTTGGGGTTTCTTTAATTCGGGTTGTTGATCTGTTTATAAAAATTGGTAAATTTGAATTTAAGTCCCTAAATTTTCCTGCACTTCCTAAAACAATATGTAAACTTTAAAATTTTACAATTAAATCCTCAATTTCTCCCGAGATACAACTTTAATTCGATACTTTATATTTACTAAAATTTAACCCCTAAATTAGAGTGTGACAATTGGAGTTTATATACTGGCCTTTTTTGTGTATATTTGTGTGGATCCTAGAAACTTCATTTCCATTCATAGGTCAACAAATCAACTGTGGGGTAAACTTTTATAATTTTAGGAATAGAAGAATTTCAAGAGGGCTAAAAGAGATTTTCAATAGAAAATAAATAGAATTTTTTTAAAAAATATATAATAATTTTAAATTTTTAGGTATCGATTACCCGGTCTGCCCCCTCGGTCCATATATATATTAATATAAAAGAAAGTTGACGAAATGCAAATGTAAGTAAACCACTTTTGTTTGTAAAGAAAATGGGAAATCTTTTGAAAATCATAGCCTTTGTGGAAAATGATTTTGCAGAATAAAGGAAATCTCAGAAAGATTCCGAGATGGAATGTGATACAAATGCACAACTGATGTCAACATGCATTTGTTGCACACTCTACTCTTTGAAAGTGGTTTTAAGAATGGTATTACATACCGTTGAAATTGAGGTGAATCAGGCTGACCCTGTGCAGGCTCATCTGCAAATTATAACATTTTTGACTCTTCATTTTTCTTGAAATGTCCTTACCGAACGAACGCAACCATCGCATTCGTTTGAAGAGTATGTAGATTTTAAGCAAAAGCATACTAATGTCAATGGAGAAGCATAATGCAAATTTCCAACTCAGTAAGAAATTAGACATTCAGCTAGTAGCTGCAAATACCAGTCTCTGAAATGGGGGGGTTTGATCTAATTACAACAGCGGGAAATCGCGAGGAATGGTGCCCCGAGTTCATGGTTACCTCTTCCAACCCTTATGCCTCCAGCAATATTGTCTTCACACATCGGAAAATGCGATCGTGGCATTCCAAGCATATGTTTTCATTTGATAGTTGAGCGAATGATGGCTGGAGGAGTCGATTTCGGATCATCTACACCTCTGTTTGCCGGTATTCAAGGGAGAATCTCTGATGCTTTTGGAATGAGTATTGGACAGTTGCTGAGATCCCTCTGGTTTCTTTTTTCGTCTCCCTTGTTGAGATAGACGAGTGTGGTAGGATAAGATGGCAAGATCATTAAGATCCTGCAATGGAGCGAGAACTTTCATGACTTCGTCCATCGTAGGACGGGATTTCGGGTCCCGAAGGAGGCAACTGTGAGCTAATTGAGAAACTTTCTGTACTGCTTTAAGAGAATAGTTCAGCTCCAAGCGAGGATCCACCAGTTGGTAAAGCTTTCTCTTGTCAGCTAAATATGGTCGAGCCCAAGTAACAAGATTCTGCTCGCCACTAGGCCGCTTTTTGTCCATTGATCTCCGGCCTGTCAAAATCTCAAGTAATACAACACCGAAGCTGTAGACATCGCTCTTCGACGTCAAGTGTCCTGCAAAAAACAATCCAAAAAATGGCACACCATGGTTACCTTCTATCCATGGAATTTGATGTATGATCATCTTGCACAAATTCTGATACCTGTCATAACATACTCGGGTGCGGCGTAGCCATAGGTTCCAACAACCCTGGTAGAAACGTGTGTTTTGTCTCCTTGAGGACCGGCTTTCGCGAGACCGAAATCCGAAAGCTTTGCGTTATACTCCTGGAAAACAAATCCCATACTAGTGATTCCATACTAGTTGATACAATCACCTACATTAATCCAACAAATTTACATACCGAATCAAGTAAAATGTTGGATGTTTTGAAATCTCTATAAATGACCGGTTCTGGACCACCATGGAGAAAGGCCAACCCTTTTGCTGCCCCAAGTGCAATCTTGATTCTATTGGACCATGGAAGAGGTATTGTCCCTTTGCGAAATCAGACAAGGCAACATCAGCCGGTATAGTCGGCGAATACCGAATCGGAGAAAACTATATCAGCAACTAAGTTGGTTTAGTATCACAGTAAGAAACAACGAAACTCACTTCGAAAAGATGGTTTTCGAGGCTTCCTCGGGTCATAAATTCGTACACAAGCAGCCGTTGATCGTCTTCGATGCAGTAACCGATGAGTTTAACAAGATTAGGATGATGAAGCTGTCCGAGAAAATCAACCTCAGCCTGCATTAAACAAGAATCATTCAAAGTTAAACCTCTCAGGTTTCAGAATTCCACCACTAGTCTCTGACATTGAATCTACTAACCCAAAGCACATATTTTTTCTACTAACCACCCATTCTCTATGGCCTTGTAGACCATCTGGCTTCAAGCTCTTGACCGCAACCGTGATCCCGGAACCGGGTTTCGCCGGAGCTGTACCGTTTTCCTCAATCCACCCTTTGAAGACATAGCCAAAACCACCCTCCCCAAGTATGCTGTCGGGTCTAAAGTTCACGGTAGCCGATCTCAGCTCCTGAAATGTAAATTGGAGAAGCTGGCATGGAGATTTGTTATCTGATGGCGGTGGTTCAGGATTATCAGATGAAAGACCAGCTTCATTTGGAGGGTAAAGTTCTCTGTTACTTGCATTTAGATACCTTGTTTCAGTAGCTACACACAGGGGATTGGATTACAAGTCATGATTTCATAACAGCTAAAGAAACAACATAAATTCAATTTGAGAATCATTCAAACAACAGAAAATACCAACAAGAACATTGGCAATTTCAAGACAAAAAGGAGGGCAAAAGCTGAAGAGAAATACCATTATCATAAACAAGACTAGTACGAGGAATGGTGTTAGCTGAGTCACGAGGAGCAGAGGACTTGCAGACGCTGCGTTTCAAGACAGACCAACAGCCACAGTTGTTGTCTTCCATGGTGAAGTGTTGAGTTTGGAGACAAAACTGTTAGCTTAGTTAATTCAAAAAGAACATGTCTCATGGGATGGCACTATGATTGCATGAACACAAGGAGTAGAAGAAGAAAAGAGTAGCCATGGGTAGAAAGGAAAGGAAAGGAAAGGATGAAGGAGATAGAGAGAGAGAAAAGAGGAGGGAAAAAAGAAGGAAAGGGAGATAGCAGCAAGGCATGAATTGATGATCGCCATAAACCATCATTGCAAGTGTGTACAAAAAGAACTTTTTTGCCACCACCTTTTCTTTTCTTTTCTTTTTGCGTGGGGATGGATGCCCATTCCTCTCTCTCTCTCTCACTCATTATTTAATTTTGGCTTAATACTTAAAATGACCCCTCTACTTTAGTAAAAAATTCATTTTTTACCTTTTTTTTACTATTTGACCAATATAATCCCTTAACTTTCAATTCGCTATATATTTAGCCCTTTGGCATTTTTAACTCTTTCAGTTCTCCTTCACAAATTGTGTCTCCGTTGTCACTCTTCCGTCTTTTAAAGTCTTTGGAAGAACTCTTTCGTTGATTGAATTCTTCGAAGAGTCATATCTTCCAATAAATCATACACAATCTTTTGAAATGATCTCTGATAGGCTCACGTGTTTTTTCAGAACTAAATTCAACATCTGAAGATCATATTCATACACCCTATCAATTTATGAATAATTATTATGATCTTAAACTTAACACCCTTCAATAAATGTCATTATAAAACTCCTTATGAAAGATTGAGAATGACTTATTCTTTTTTTTTTCTTTTCTATAGAGAGGACACCATTTATTATCTTAAACCAATCATCTGTCACAAATCTACCAAATACGATTTTTCGACCAAATTAAAAGGCGTGAATCTACAATTTACCATCAAAATATCTGGAAATAGTAGAAGTGACAAAATGATATTTTACTAAAGTATAAGGGTTAAAACAAGTAATAAGCCATTAATATTTATTTCCTTTTGCTTTAACGGGATTACCAAAAACTAATTCATTAATCTAAAGAGAACGAATAGAAAACATTTGACAACTAATTAATATGCTGAAATATCAACTTTGATTCTTTAATTTTATTAATCATGGGATGTGGTCAATGACATTGATCCCCCACTAACTTTGAACGTTCTATCTTAATTTTTCTAATTAATATAGTTTTTATTGTGGACTTTATATGAAGATATATAAATTATATGGTCTACGGTTTCGAATATCTAATAATGTACACAGTTTGGTGAAACATTTAGAGACCAATAGTTACTCTCTTTCATTGATTCGGATAATATTTAAATTAACATAAAGATGTTAAATAACGAAAATAAAATAAACGCATCACCTAAGACAATATAATAACTAATTAAATAATTAAATTGACAAACTCTGTTTTTTTATTTTTTTATTTTTGGTAACAAGGCGAAACAAGCTGCATTAGCAATGGATCAATCTTCTCCTTCATGCAGCCATGTCGAGGTGGCGGAGGCTTTGGATTTTATCTTGTGGGTGTTGCAGCACCGAGAGCCCTCTTAATACAGTCATCCCTCAGAGTTAGAGGAGCTTGCATTTGTTAAACAAAATAAATTATTACATTTCATTATAATATAAGTACGCAGATATTCTAATCTAATGTAATTATTAATATTATATATTATCACACTTTAATGCGAGTGTTCCAAAAAATGTATATATTATAATGCGAGTGAAAGTAAAAAAGAACATACAAATTTATTCAATAAATAATTATAATCGAAGTGAGTGAATTTTAGATGCTTTGTATATTATCTAAAAGTATGCAAAAACAAAAGGCATCATTATAATACTATCATTTAAAAATGTAAAAATATTTTACTATTTTTAATTGAATAATTACTTAATTAATATATGATATTAATAGTATGTTGTAATTACAAGATAGTGTATGTTAATAATTTTATTCATTAATTGACGACACATACTTTACAAACGCAATAGCTCGAACTAAATATTTCTAGAAAAAATAATGTTCCATTCTATCGCCAAAGTCACTTGATAAATTCTCAATTAAATATTTAAAGTTAGTATAAATATTAATACAAATATCTTCAATAAAATTCATACTCATAATAAATATAAGAATGATCAAATTTAATTTTAAAAAAGTTACTTTGTTGTGAAGCAGTGATGCCCATCACACCCCACCGAGCCACAATGGGTCACTCCACTCAAGCTCATCATATTTACCAAACAATAACAAGATATACTGTTTTGGGATCTGCAAAAGTTTTGGGTCGGGTTATTTTTTTTAAAAAAAATTGGGTTCGGGTTGTGTCGAGTTCGAGTTCGAGTTTAAGATGAAAAATATCCGACCCGACTTGACTCAAAAAAAAATATAATTTTACATTATATATTTAGGTTAAGTCATTTTTTTATTATTTCGGATTGGATCGAGTTTTTAAGTTATATATCGGGTCGAGTTCGGGTCGGATGAAATCTTGTTTTGGTCGAGTCAGGTCTCAGGTGGAGGATTCCTTGATCTCGGGTCGGGTGGATTAAAAACCCGACCCAACCCGACCTATACACAACCCTAGATGTCAAATATAATCTTGAAGAAAATAAACAAAAAGAACAATCAAATGATCAATAAAAAAATGAAAAACATACTAAAAGGTAAAGAAAAACATGTCAGACATAATTATCAAAAATTAAAAAATATATATAATATAAAAAATAAAAGAAAAAACCTAATAATAAATGATCAACATTAAAATTAATACCACCACCTACCAAATAAAAACCTGAAAAAAAATAAACAATGTTGTGAAGAGACTTCTACTACTATTTATCCCTCATTTTTTACATAGAATCTACTATTGATAGAGTCAGAAAATTTTTATTATGAAGCTTACATAAAAATTTTGATTTGACATAAATAAAACTATAATCACACTTATTTAGAAATTAATTAATAAAAACTTGAAAAAAGAAAACAAAAGAAGAGCTACAACCGGATTAGGGGGCTGCTTAAAAGTCTCAAAAGATTTGACTACTTATCTTGTAAAAGTTTTAAAGAGCATAAAAGAAAATAAGATAAATTTAAGGCAAAAAAAAGAAGAAGATAAATGTTGAAAGAAAATAAAAAAAATTAAAGATTTTTTGTGATATTAACTTAATGGAGAGAGATTAATTTATATTCATATAAATTAATTTTATAATATAGTATTTAAAAATTATAGGTTAGAATTTATCAATTGATTTTAATGATTAAAGGGAATGTTGTTTTCTCTTGAAATATCGAATTCGAGTAGTTATGTCTACATAATAGTAAAATATGTGTATTGCCAATTATTAAGAAATATTACTACATTTGATGTATCATCTTTGAGACATACTTAATAAAGAAGATCTTCTCTAAGGTTAGAGATAGAAGTTGCGCCTTTGTATGTGCATAAAATTTCTGTTGTAAGATTTATTCACTAAAATTAGATATATGACGTAAGTCGATCAAGATTAATTAGGATAAAGTTCTAAAAATTAGGAGGGAAAAAAAGTAAAGAAACACTTGATCATCATGGTGAATTGGTGAACCGCTTGTGAAGCATCATGGTTCCTTGTTAGGCGTCATCATCATCGTGGTTGTGAAACAATCCATTTTTTGAGCTTTAATAGGAGGGAAGATTGTTTGAAAACACAACATAATGCAACAACAACAACAAAATCCCATTGATTGACGTGCCTTGACCAGTCCAGGCTCAACAAATCTTTGATTACTCACGTCTAACAATCAAAGCACTCAAGTAGTTGTTCCTGAATTGTTTGTATGATATTTTTTTTAATAAGTGTATGAAATAAAATTTTATGTTCATTTAATAAATAAATAAACATAAATAAAAACGTGTCCAGTTTGTTTATATTCATGAACAAACTTATTTGAAAGATAGTTTATTGACTCATTTATAATATAATTTATCGGATTCTCTTTTTCTCTTTATTTTTTTATATCTTAAATATTGGTGAAGATACTGACCAAATTGAACACAAGATAAACTTTGAAGTTCAAATTGTGAAGTCTAAGGAGTTTAAGGACTAGTAGCATAATTTCACCATTTATTTAACTTGCAAATAAGGATAAAAGATGAACAAACATGATATCGAACATATAAACGAATATGTTCACAAACGTTAAATGATCCAAACATGAACTCCGTCAAAAATAAAATAAAAAATGAATACGAACACGATATTAACAATTTAAATGAACTTGAATTAAATATAGATACCTTTAAAAAATAAATAAACGAACATAATTACAATCCTATTCATTCAATCTCAATTTATTTGCACCCTTTAAGTTCAACCCAACTCCCTTGCGAAAGCGATTAAGCTGATTATGCAGGAAATTGATTATTACCGACGACAAAGATATTTCGTCGCTAAATTTGAAATTAGTGCTATAATGAAGCATTAGTTGCCATTGTTTCTTTTAGAAACTTGACTTTGCTTGGCCTTTAGTTTTCATATCCAACAATGATTTTTATTTTAAGATTGATGAATGGTGTTTATAGCCTTTGGTTAGTAATTATTTAATACTGTCACTATAAACAGTCCACGTTTTCTTATTCAAGGTAGTATTTTTTTTATTTTAGACATAATTGGAGATGGCAGCGGGTTGGGTTTATGTTCAATTCGATATGACCCGAAAAATATATATTTTTCACTCAAATTCAATTTAACTCGAGTTTTGAAATATAAGCTTGACCCGACATAAATTAAGAATCTAATTTAAAAAACTATAGAAAGAATATATTATAACAATTAGGGTGCGTTTGGTTCATGAAATGTAAGATTACCAATGGGAATAAAAGATTACCAGGGAATAGGATTACTGGGAATGTTGTATTTTGTGTTTGGTTGGTTTAGCAGGAATGTAAGATTACCGTGTTTGGTTAAAGGAATAAAAGATTATTGGAATGTATATTTGAACAAATTGTCCTTATTATATTTTATAATATTACAAATTGTAAAATATTTATATATTTTATTTAAAAAATTAAATTAATAATATTTATATAATTTTTTTAAAAAATTAAAATATAAAAAAAGTTTAATGAAAGGGTAAAAAACAATTTAATCCCTGAACTTCATATAAATTTTAATTATATTTTTTTTGTAAATCTAAAACAATATAAGGATAAATTTGTAATTTAACCTTCGTAGAATTTTTATTATTCAATGACAGAAGAAGGATATTTTTGAAAAAAAAATAAAAATTTAAGGGCATTTTAATCCAAAGCGCCAGTAATGTTACAATACCTAAGGGAAGGGAGGTAATGACATTCCCAGTAATATACCCCAAAAAATCTACTATTAGTAATAAAACATTATCGAGAATGAGATTCCCGGCCAACCAAACATGGGAATGTGAGATTCCCATCTCATGGGAATCCCACAATCCTTGAACCAAACACCCCCTTATTTATAAATTTATATAAAAAGTTACTCTGTCACTCATAGATTCGGTCAGGTTTGAAGTTTTTCACTCTCTATCTAGAACCGAACGAAACTTTTTTTTAAATGAACCTATCATATTAGATCAAGTCGAAACTCATCGATATCACATTAAATTGTAATACCTATATAATATTATAATCCTTAGTGACACCTTTTGTTCCAATTCCAATTATTTTCACATAATATAAAAAAGACAATATATCGTTTTATATAAAGTATGAAGGGTTAATTTTAGTATAAGGATCAAATTTAAAAAAAAACAATAACATAAATATAAATTAAATAAATTAAAATATCAAAATTAAATTAATAACTTAATTTGAGGGCAGTAGACTTCGCTTTCATCATTCAGCAATCTGCTGAGCCCAGGCCCAGGCAGATTCTCTCGTTGACATTCCTCTGTCCTGACTTTTGCATTTCACCAAGTAATTGCCATTACATATATTCCAAATAAACTAATTACATAAATAATATTTAGTTAACATAATTTTCATTACACATGCATTATTATAATTAATATTTTTTTATATTATTATATCATTAATTAAATAAATTAATACTCTAGATTGATCAATTACTCTAAATAAAAATATTACTAAATGAATTGTACTATCATAATATAATGGACGGTACACTTAATCTAATGAGTTATACAATTAATAGTCTAGTTACAAATTTGATCTAATGAATTTACGAAAATAATGGTAATAATTTATATGCATTGATCAATTTTAATTAATGTAATAAAAAAGTTAATAAAACAAATTACTCAATTGATCATGTAATTATTGATCAAATTAAATTGATATTAGTATAGAGGTAATAACATTCATAGACAAAAGCAAGATTTTACGTAAAAATGACTGACTTGAAAAATTTTAAAAGATAAATATTATCAATAAAAAATACAAATAAAATATCTAAATATATAAAAATTTAAAATTTTTAAAGGATAATTGTATCCACTCGTCTTGTTTTGATCCATCTCTCATGGTATTAACCTTATTGGCCTACTATTGTTGTTTTGAAATCAATTATGTGTATTGTTTATGATCAATTGATATACATGTTATATATATTCATATGTAGGTCAAAAGATTTCAGACCATAGTTATGAGGATCGCTACTGCCTCTAGATTCGCGATCCATTTTATAAGTTTCGTAAATTGGGATATTTACATTTCGGGTCCATCAAAACTTATTTTATTTTATATGTGAATTTAAATAAACCATCAGAAATTAGATTAAAGGATATGTATCACGTTTTATCATATAACAATTTTTTTTAACGCTCGTTATAGATAGATACTTAAAAGTTTAAAGGACATAATATTAAATATGTTTTTAGTGAAAAATATTTTAGTCGTTAGCTTATGATATAATTTAAACACTAACTTTTATATTAAACCTAAACTCTACGAATAGCTTCTGACGAGTTTATATGTACCACATCCGATCGTAAGTGCAACCAGATTTCTTCATTTCTTTGCTTCTACTATTCAAATTGGACATGAAAGACCAGATGATTTTGCTTCAAAGTTCATGCCATATATATGTACAAATACAAGACATTCATATATACAGACACAATAACTAAAAACCTCGACCAATACAGAAGTTGTCACAAATCTCAGATGGTAATCAAAGGGGTTGTTGGTGAGACATTTTCAATATCTAATGTGTCAGAACCATGTTCAATAGGATTAAAAAAAAAAGGAACAAATCCAACTAGACAAGAGGAGTTACCTACTTGTCTTTACATAAATGGTGTAATTCTGAATTTAGTCCCTCTTCTATTACAAAATTTGAGATCCAATCCACTTTCTTTAATTTATCTCAAATTTCAGCGTAACGGAGAGACTAAAACGAGAAATCATTTGTGAGAGAAAGAGGCCTTACTTGAAAGCTTTAATCATGGAGGTTAGCAAACTGGAACAAATCCAGCGCCGTTTTTCAACATCTTCTTGAATTCATCAAAGTTAACCATTCCATCACCATCCATATCAACTTTCCTTATCATTGCTTTACAATCTTCCATCTTCTTCCCTTCATTCAACCCCAATGAACAAAGCACCGAACCCAGTTCCTCAAATGAAATCAACCCATCTTTGTCTTTGTCGAACACATCGAAAGCCTCTTTGAGTTCATCTTCTTCACCGCCGTCGTCACCACCACCGTCCCTAATCTCTCCACCGCCACATAAGATGCAGAACTCATCGAAATCGATCAACCCGTCGCCGTTGGCATCAGCTCTGACGACCATGTCTTCAACCTCTTTCTCCGTCGTGAACAGCCTAATATTCTTGAGCGAATCCCTCAATTCCTGCTTCGTTATGAACCCGTCGCCGTTCTTGTCGAAGGTGGCGAAAACCCTTTTCAGCTCCGCCTTGTTTGAATCCGAATCACTCTTCTCCTTCACCGGAATCATCACCTTGGGTGTGTTATCAGGGAAGAAAGACTGAAGCCATGCATGAAACTTCTTGCGGGAGAAATAAAAGTAAACGTTAAAGAAGCCGGCTAGGAAAAGAAAGGCCAGTAGCAGAAGAGATGTCACCATGTTTCTTGTGAGGAAGAAGATGCAGAAAGAAGAGCTAATACAAAGAAGAAAAAAGGGATTGTTTTTTCATATTATCTTAGGGTTGGTTGGGGAAGACAGCTTAATAACAAAGAAAACCTTTTTTTCCGGTCTAAAATAAAAGAAAGAGAATCAAGAGAGAGAGAGAGAGAAAGAATACGCGGAGTTTGGTGTGACCCACAAAACCGCGTGAACTGTAATAACTATAAATAAATAAACTCAGTGATGTAGCTTAAGTACTTAAACGAGAGATCTTCTACAAATTTATAGGCCGAAATGTGGTTTTGGTCCCTATACTATATTAAAATTTGGAATTTGGTATCTATAATTTTTCAGGGGAGGGGGAATTGCATTTGTATTTTTATATGATATAATTTGACATTTTTATTATTTTTAATTTCATTATTGATTCCAAATAACTATCTTAGAAATTATAATATGTCAGATTTTCGACCAATCCTTTCAGAGAAATCTACCTCCTCTGTTTAAACTTGAACTAGAACTCAACTCGAGTTTAGGGAGGTCATGTCTGACACGAAAATTAACCTAAATTTTAAAGTAAAAACTTACGTATGATCTGATCTAACATAAATATAAAAAAGATCTTATTTTTATTCATCAAAATAGAGACATGATTAAAAATTATAGAGGAGAGTATTATAGAAATTATATCTAAATATATGTAAGAAAATTATACTATTCGAGTTCCACCAGGTCAGAGATTTTTTTTATCATAATTTCGATCTGACTTCACCCCTTATAAAATTTGATTCGACCTACCCAAATTTGATTTTAAAAAAATGACTATATCAAATCAAGTCGAGCCAGGATCCATCAAATTTGGATTAAATTGTTATCCCTAAACTAACACCATTAACTATTTTGATTAAAACCTGTGATTTTTCTTAATACATTCTTTCTAATTCTAAGAAAAAAACAACATTAGTATTTTAACCGAAATAGTTATGGTGACTACAAGTAGGGGCAAAGCCAAAAAATTATGTTAGAGGGGTAAGATAAAATCAAAAAAATTTGAGGGATCAAAGCTAAAATATTTTTTGTTAAAAACTTTAAATAGCTTAAATTGAACTATTATTTTTTTTGGAAGGACCAAAGACAGAAACTTTAGTGTTAAAATAGCTTAAATTGAGTTATTAAATTTGTAGAGGGGCCTAAGCTAAGAGCTTTGTATTAAATTAGCTTAAATTAAATTGTTAACTTTTTGTAGGGTCAAAACTAAAAAATTTTGTATTAAAATAGCTTAAATTCAATTACTAAATTTTTAGGTGGGGCTGAAAGCATAATTTTCATTTAACTACAGGGAAATGAGGACTAAATTGAATTATTAGAACTTAAAAGGGGTTAAAAGTGCTGTTATATCATAAAATCAAGGGGTTAGAACCCTACCCGAATCCACCATTGACTTCGGGGACTAAATTTCAAATTTGAACATGCTAGAGGTCATAATCATAATTTGACTAATTTTGTAAATGAGAGATAACTACATAATGATATTTTATTAAAAAACATTTCTCTTTCACTAAATTGTTTAGAAAATAAATAAGATTTCCAGTATTTGTTTTTATTTTTGGGTAAAGTACACAAATGATCCATTGACTGTAGGTGTTACTTTGTTAACTTCCTCAACTATTAAAAGCTATAAAATAATATCCGCTTATAAGACACTAATTTTTAAGTCTCCCGACTATTAAATGTTACAAAATGGTCACTTGACTATTCATATGTTCCAAACCTGTCTTTTTTTTTAAGAAAAAATTAACAGTCGTATGAGTTGGACGTAACTTGCTGACTGAGATGTGATAAAATCATATTTTAATTATGTCTATTAGTATTGTTGTTTTCAAGCATTGGCTCGACGACATAATGTAAACGGAGACTCGATTCACAAAAGACACCTCAAACAATTTTGAAATCATATTTTATCATATCCCAACGAGCATATTAACGTCCAACTCAAGCGAGCACCAATTATTTAACAAAAAATGATGAGTTTGAAACATATGAATAATTGGGTGACTATTTTGTATCTTTTAATAGTAGAATGACTCAACAAATCAACACATTGTAATTAGGGGACTATTTTATAACTTTCAATAATAAAAAACTCAACAAAGTAACTATAGTCGAGGGACTATTTGTACACTTTACCCTTTCTTATTTTATAATGACAAAGGCCTCGATTAACTCGCTAAACAAATATATATAACTAAAATTAGATCAAATTCTACCACGACGGATTGATTGATCCACAAACATCGGATTATAGATTGGTGATCCAAGATGACGATGAATTAATTGGTTACAAAAATTTAGAAAATTTAAATCCAAATATTTTTATCATCTTATAAAAGAAAATTATATAAAAATTGGTGTCTTCAACTGAAAATTTATATGTTTTCTTGGGTAAGACCAAAGAAATTGAACTAGAAACATATCATTGCCGATAATCTTCCCTCGATTCAATAATAAAATTTTAATCGAAAAGTTGTTCATTCAAAAGTACATTCACTTGTCGACTGATATTCATTCGCCTCTTCTTTCCCTTCCTCCCAACTTCTACAACACACTTCGTCATTACCACAACAATATAGTCTGATGAAATGATACGTCACCGACGATCAAAATAGCACGCCATTCTACACACTAAACATAAAGTATTGCACATTTAAGCATTAGAGCCGTTCAAAAAACAATAATTGCAATGTTTCATCAAAAATAGCTTATTACACACCTGTAACACTTTAATGATTAAATCTTAGGTCAAATTACTTTATGGCATCCATCGATCAGGCCTGGTCCTGACATTTTAAGAGTCCTAGGCCAGAAGATGATAACAAGAAGACAAGTGGGGGCCCATACTTAGATTTTTTACATCATTAAAATGGGGCCCCATTAAATTACTATATTTTTTAGTTTTTTAAATAAAAAATTATGTTTAAAATATTTTTTAATTATTGAGGCCCACTAAATTATCATATTTTCAAGTATTTAAAATAAAAAAATATGTTTAAAAATATTTTTTAATTATTAAACTTAAAAAATAATTTAAAAAATGGGCCCCTCCAAGCTTAGGGCCCTAGACAGTCGTCCCCCTGGCCTATGCCCAGGGTCAACCCTGCCATCGATTAATGGGGGACGAATGTTATACCCTGTCAAAGGTCCTTCAGATATCACTTATGTGCCTCATATCCTTCAGAGGACCCAGAAACATCTTTGAATCTTTGAAATATAGGGAACTCCGACAGACATAAAGAGAATATATCTAGAAGAAGAATCTCAAGTACTTAACATCTCTTGGAAAGCCGTGACCTATTAACATGCCTTTGACATACTACCGTGAACTACAAGAACCAAATCTACTACCAACATATACATGTAGTCATAATGACCCTACGCCTAGTACTACCTCCCAGAGTCACTATAAAACCTCTTGAACAATATCGAAAAAATGAAGACAACCTAGATACAACTACCTCAACCTCATTTATTTCTTCTTATGGAGACAAAATACTTTGACACCGACCAACGATTGATCTATCACCCGCTATTACGACTCTACGCCCAAATCAAAAGAAGTGAACCACTTACAATTGTCACAATCTATTTGATTCCATCAACACTATCGTTGCTAATCATAATTTTATTATAATGATATATGATAAAACATCTTTATATATTTACTACATTGAGATCATATTTTGCCAATTTACTAGATTTAGAGGTTTGATTTTTTTTTTAATATTTCATTTTATTAAATGAACCGATAATTTATAATTTTATAATCACTTTAACTAAAGTTTTTTTTACCAAATCCTATATTGTCTTTACGTAACAAATTTATAAATAATGACTTTTGGTGGACTTAGAAATAACGAGAATGGAGGGTTTAGGGCCACCAAATCCAATGAATTTGAGATTTTCCCTCACAAAATGGGAATCTCCCAATTTCAACATCAAAGTTTGATACAAAGCTACAATTACCAATAATTTTTTAGATGTTAACGAAATAAATAAATATCAAAAGAAACGACCAAGGCGGACAACCCTATAATTTAGGACCACTTTTGTCCTTGCTTTACATGTGTCGTTTTTTCCATTCTCTAAAGTTTTTATGTCGGAGAAATGTTGTATTTATGTTGCACTATATTTTAATTATTTCTCTTGTTTATTTTTATAAACGGCGTACTTAATCACCAAACTATCACTTGAGTTTCATTATGATCATCTAATTATTTTTTCTTTAGATTAAGTACATTTGGCCGACTGACCAAGTTACTCATATTTGTTCATTCATATTTCCTTATGTCATGAGTTATAGAACCACTAGGAGCACTCCCTTTCTTTCCCCTAGAGTCTTCCCTTCCCTAAGGTAGGATTAAGATTAGATTTAGAAATTGTAAAAAAATATCTTTTTTTATAACACTAATGTTATATATTGGTTTCATTTTTGTCACTCCCGTTAAAAAAGTAACGGAGATGTTGACGTATCACCACAAAGTAATTTCACAATATTATTGAAAATAAATAGAAAAATATTATGTTAACAATTATGTTAATTTTTAACCGTGAATGACCCAAACAAAATCAAAATTATAATTGAGTAAACAAAATGAAAGTAAAGTTAGTGACTAAATACATAGTTTACCCCTTTTTAATGATCCGTTTCCGATCATAGTATGCAGCTTAAGTAGACCTAAATAAAAAAAGGCATAATTGTAATAAATTAATTAATCAAAAAAATAATTGTCAAAAAAGCTTATAACATCGACTAAATAGTCACTTTGATCCCTAATATTTTTTTGAAGCATTTTAGCCCCCAAAATTTTATTTTGATGCAAAAAAAGTCTTTCTATAGATGAAAATCTTTAGTTAACAATCGGTTAACACTCTAAAATAAGGATTTTTGGTCATTTTACTCTAAAATAAAACGTTGGGAGCCAAAATATTCCAAAAAGAATATGAATCAAAATGAC